CCCGCCGGCCCCGGTTCCGCTCGCAGCGCGGCACGCCCTGCCGGAGCACCGGGAACCGCCTGCCTGGGAGCGGTTCGGTGTGTTCGGAGCCTCTTCTCCCGGCAGGAGGAGTCATTTCCGAGAGTCCTCACGGGACTGTCAGTGAAACGGCACCGAAAGGTGGCAGAAGTGCCGAAACAAAGCAGTGGTGATAACTGCGCTGTGCTTGGGCTGCTCGTGAGCCCTGCCCCAGACTTCCTGGCACACTCGCTGTGTGTGTACGTTTGTCCTCACTGCGTGTAAATTAGAAGTAAATGTGCAAGTGTGTCAATACAGGGAATAGTCAGACTTGGCTCCTTGGAGGATTAGGATGCACTAAACGTGCATCTGATGCAGAAGAAATAAGAATATGGAAAAGGAAATTGAGTACAGTTGGTTGTAGAAACAAGCACTAAGCACTAAGCACCTGACAAGGCAGTGAAAAGGGTGCGAAGCTCTTGCATCCATTACAGAGATGTAGAGTGTTGCAGCTGGTAAAAAGAACTCTGTTCTGAATTCAAAGCTGTCCAGAACTGAATTTTTGTGTATGCCAAATGCTTTCTCCTTCTGGTGCTTTCTCGTGCTCCATGTCAAGCATTTCAAAAGAACAGAGACAGACAACAGTAGAGAAGCAGCCACTGAAGAAGTACATACTTGGGATAACTGTTAAGTAGACTACTGTAGCTTGAAACTTAGCATTTGTGTTCATAGTGGAAAGGAGAAACACCCCAAACCCAAACTCTTTGAGCCCTATGAACTGTCGTTGAGGCTTTCTCATGTCTCACTGCAAAGTGTGATGTTAGCAAACCCCTGCTGACCCACAGCATTGCAGGCAGTTTGTTGACAAGATGTTTGGAACGTGGCAGCTGTTAAAACACCACTTCTGCAGTAGGAAACTGCTCAGTATTTATTCCAAAGATATGAGTTCCTGGTTCTCAGGAGTGCCAGATGAGTAATGATACCTTTCTTTGCTGCAGGTCAGCCAATATCGCTGGAAGCTCAAATATGGCTGCTGGCAGTAATCGTCGGCTCCAGCAGACTCAGCATCAAGTTGATGAGGTAAAAGTCTAGTCTGACAGCAGTGTCTTCATTTTCCTTCAGGATACCTACCTATGTGGAAGGGATGCTTTTGCCAAAGCAGTTTCCCCTACATATAATGAAGGGGAAGCAGAGAGAAGTTATCAGTGCCCAAACGTTATCTGCAATCTTGGTGCTTGAGGATTTGGTCTAAGTAAATATAAAGCCCTTTGTTCTTGCAGACGACAAGCCTTGTCAGTAGCAGTGAGTGCTGACTGCCAAGTGCAATGTGTCTGGATTTTCGTGGAGTCCAAAAGCCAGGCTGGCTGCCCAAGGGTGGTTTTGACATGTGGTTTACTATCATATTAATATGCCTCAGCTCCTGAAGTGACTTGGGAATTACTTCCCAGGCCTGAAGGAATGCCAGCACACTTGGCGCTACTGACACTGAAGTAGGTACCAGGGGCTTCCAGCCACAGGTGAATGTCATAGTTTTGTTTAAGCTTGTGACTGCATATACTGAAAAGCAATAGCTCCTGCTTCCGAGAGGAGAACATCAAGTACCATGTGTTACTGTCTGCTGCCTTCGATGATATTCCCCAGGGGTTGTACAACCAATAACTCACCATAAGCATTAAACTGATGTAGGTTGTTGACATCATGAGAGTGAATGTGGACAAGGTATTGGAGCGAGATCAGAAGCTGTCAGAGCTGGATGACCGTGCTGATGCACTGCAAGCAGGAGCTTCCCAGTTTGAGACCAGTGCCGCCAAGCTGAAAAGGAAGTATTGGTGGAAGAATTGTAAGGTAACTATGGCTTGTTACTTACACTGTTCAGTATTGCTGGTAACATTTTTACAGTCAGCATCTCAAAAGGCAGAAAAAAAAGAATGTTATTTAAGTGGCAGCATCTGATTTTTTAAAGCATGGCATATAGGGGCTGGGTGAAGTAACGACAAGCCGTGCTGCCCTGTGCAGGAACTTGTCTAGGATGGCAATGGCCCGGGAGGAAACATTTTTGGTAATATCAGGCTTTGAGGAACAGAAGAAAAGGCTAAAACTGCATAGGCTGAGCTAATGCAGGAAGTATTAGAAAAAGGGGAAGAAGCTTACTCAGACTCCTGTACTTGTAGCTGTTGGCAAAGGTTGGAAGACAGCTTGTGTATTCCCTTGGACCAGGGGAATGTGCATAAATTCCCTGCAGGCACAGTGGTGCTGCTCCACCACTGAGTGCTAACTCACTGTCACCTCTGAATGCTACTGGTGGATCAAGCTGGCTCACTGTGGAATCTTCCCTTGCCAGTAGATCGGTGCCAAAGTACCTTGCAAAGTAACACCAAGTACTTTGTGGTCCTGTGCCCTGAGGGGCAGTTAATGCTGTTGCATGGTTTGTAGTAAGTGCTGTATGGCTTTTTTTCAACAGATGTGGGCAATATTGATAGCTGTTGTTGTCATTATCATCATCATCATTATTGGTAAGTCCCACCAAAATGGGGATTTCTCATGGCTTTGGAATAGATTGTGTTATTTCCCTGACTAGTGCAGTTCAAATGACACCAGGATACTCAAATGGAAGTGTACACAAGGTTAATTTGAAATAACAGGGACAACTTTAACGACCATTGCCTGCCACTCACTAGTGGCAAACCGTGACCACAGTGGGAGCTCCAGTACCTGAATCTCAACCCTCTGTGCACAGTGACACAGGCTTTTTTGGGGTTTTGCTGCAGGGTGAAATGAGACTAACTTTGGGTTAGGATGGACCAGGGACTGTATAGTTCAGTCTTTGAGTTCTCACATAATGGCCAAGCGTTTCATGGGGAGACACAGGTTTTGAGTCTGTGCCGTAACAGCGTCACAGATGCTGCAGTGCCCATTGGCATCAGGGGGACAGCCCTGGGTCAGCGCAAAGGAACACTACACCTAGAAAAACCCACATGGGAAATTCTTCAGGGATTTAAGAGGGATTTATCTCCGGTATCTTAACGATCCTGCATTTTGAGAATTTATGGTGCGAGGCTGAAGGACACTGTCCAACTGTTTTCTTCTTTTCGTAGTCTGGTCTGTGTCTTCATGACTTACAGGAAGAAACTCCGATCTACTGAAGGTGCCTTTGAATCTTCAGCCTCTCCAAATCTGCTGCCTTATCAGCCCGTTTACTGCTGTTTAAAGCAAAACTCTTTCGATTACCGAAATGTTAACTAACTTTACCGGTTGCCTTAAGACACTCCCGTCGTTAACTACTAACCAGCACAGCTCCCCACCCGCGCGGTGCCTCGGCC